TTCATGCAGTAGTGGCTCCTGTGGCAGGTGCGGTTGCAATCTGCCATCGGAATTCCCGTGGCTCGGTCAGACAGGGTGGCTGTAGTCATTTCCAACCGTAGGTCGTTAAACGTACCCTAGCAACCGAAGCGCCCGTAGACCCCAATGATGACACGGCAGCAATGACACCACAATGATGCCATCGCCGTGATGACATCACAATGGCGACGCCATGACAGCATGACGCCGTTTCGGGCTGAGCGTCCTCTGACCACCGCCTGGCAGCGCTGGGGATACCCGTGCCCTGCGGCGCGGCGACGCGGGTCGGCGGGTGTCGTCACGGCCTCTGCCGGCGATTGCTGGCGGCCAGCCGCGGCAGAGCCGCCGCTTGACCCGCCGGCCGCTTATGTAACGAAGCTGCAAAATTCGGGCACGGGTCGGTCCGGCGTCGGTGACGGGCACCGCCGGCCGGCCGTTACCGCTCGGGACTTATGTAACGGAGCGGAATCAGGACACGACGCTAAGCCTGCATTCAAGTGTTTCTTCAAATACAGACTAGTGTTAGACGTGTTGGAAGGCGATATGACTACCCCATGACCCACACCGACGCCAAATTTCTTTGTCGTTACGTGGCGTATGTGGTATTGATTGAAATGCCAGGGTTACTGCTATATAACATTGGTGGTGTGAAACGGCTTGAAAAGCATACGTGCTCATGCTATTATTTGGCCGTCATTTATCTTGCGTTTGGCGACACCTTCCCCTAAAATGCTGGGGGGCTCACCTTGCGTACATATGATATGCAGTTTGTCTGTATGCGGCCGTGTGGTGGTCGTTTCACCTGGATGTGGTAATTAGATGTGTCCCACAGATGAATGTCGATTTCGTCAAAGCAAAGCCAACGCACCAGCGATATTTGGACCCAGCGCAGCTGTAGGATACGGTCATTACATGCAGGGGTGGTCCGTAGGATACATGCTCTGCAGCTTCCGAGAATGAGCTTAGAGTCATCGATCCTCAGCGTTTTCTGACAGTGGGGCATATCTCCCAAGATGGTTTCATTGCCGCGCTAGAATCCATAAAGTAATAACCTTCGTGTGACCATTGCTCGTTTGGTTGGCGGATCGTCTTGCTTTGTGCCAAGTGTGGTTCTATTCATCTAGTGAACATCGCCAACCGTCAGAGGTCGCTCGCTGCGCTGCGAACACCTCATGTCAGACTGCGTGGAGGCTCCGGCCGCCCCCTTTGTTCCGGTGTTCGGGGGAGGATCGGACGTTTGCCATCGATTCCAGCGCCTCACGTAAGATACGCTGGGATGGAGTTCGCACGGCGAGGCTGCTGCGCCAATCTAACATTGGCCTGAGCCATCGATTTATGTCTTCACTGGGGTGGGCTACGGTGACGGGGCACCAGGCGGGACAGTATTGACAGGATTTGCAGTAGGGTTAGAGACTACAGGATCTCCAATCAGGACTGCAGAATACAGGGAATTGAGGCTAGTTGTGGATCACAGGACCGTAAGTCGGGGCCGGGGTCCATAACACTTCCAGCTAGGGATGGGGATCAGTGGCCTATCAGTTGAGACTGGGGATCGCTGAGCCATCAGTCGCGGCTGGAGACCACGGGGCCATCAGTCGAGGCTGTGAATCACAGGGTCATCAGTCGAGGCTGGAATCACGGGGTCATCAGTCGAGGCTGGGATCACGGGGTCATCAGTCGAGGCTGTGAATCACGGGGTCATCAGTCGAGGCTGGGATCACGGGGTCATCAGTCGAGGCTGTGAATCACGGGGTCATCAGTCGAGGCTGGGATCACGGGGTCATCAGTCGAGACTGGAATCACGGGGTCATCAGTCGAGGCTGGAATCACGGGGTCATCAGTCGAGGCTGTGAATCACGGGGTCATCGGTCGAGGCTGTGAATCACGGGGTCATCAGTCGAGGCTGGAATCACGGGGTCATCAGTCCAGGCTGGGATCACGGGGTCATCCGTCGAGGCTGTGAATCACGGGGTGATCGGTCGAGGCTGGGGACCATATGGTAAACAGCCGAGGCTGGCGGTCACGCGGCTGCCGGTCCATGTCAGTGATGGCGAAGCCTCAAACCTGACAGTGGGGATCACGTGAACCGACATAGGGACCGCTCAGACGCCAGTTTTTTCATGGAAATAACGTGGCCCCAGGGCTGGCCTGTTGACGGCTCCGGGCGACGGGGCGTGCCGGGGCCGGCGCTGTCCTCGCGTGCCCCGTGACCGCCGCCGGTCCGTTATGTAAGGTGCAGACGCCTGACGTCGATATCTGCGCTCGACCCTGGGCGGCGGCGGCGGCGACGGTACGAGGGTCAGCCCGCCCCGGAGCGGCCCTCGGCGGCGGTGTCATGCTGGACTGACCTGCCGGCTGACCGGGGCCGGCTCGGAGGCCACGCCGACGCTGACAAGCCCTGCGTCAGGCCTGATGTCGGCCGGGGCCAAGGCGGCCCGCTGACGGCGGGCTTGTTGTGGCCGCAACACCGGGCGGGTCGCCGCTCGGCCCGGAGCTGCACGAGTTTGCAACCGTAAGACGGCCTTGGCTTTGGAGGAACCAAGTCTTGCGTCGAATTCATATCATGTTGCGCAAGACTTTGGAAAGTTTGTCTGCACCTCATGCCCGATGGCAGTTGAGATCTCCGGTTGTGTTCATTATGGGGGCGGGAGGCAGGATGGTTACAGTGCTATGCCTTTTTTGTCTAATAAGCGTACTTCAATTTCGCGCTCGATTGAGTAACCTCATGCCATTTTAAAAAAAGGAGGTGGTGGAGAGTCTCCGACTGCAGAAACCATATCATTGTTCAGAGACCATGGCGCGTGCGGGGCTCGAAGCCGAAGGTGTCGTGTGGAAGCTGAGGGTGCTGACCTCGGGGCCATTACGCCCCCGAGATAAAATGCCGAAACCAGGGGCCTCAGGAAATCCCCGGGACTTTCAGGGGGTAGGCAGCGGCGCTGCAGGGCCGCCTCAGTCTCCCACCAACACGGCCGTTGTTAGAACAGCGACCGTGAGATTCCTGACTGGTTCTGGTGGGTCCCATTTGCCAACGATTACTCTCGAAGCCGCATTCGGTCGCATGAACCATCCTTTTGTTTGCCCTTCAAAGGCCAGAGACGCCTTCCGCCCGGCCTGGCCACTCTCCGCCCGCGTTTTGTGTCGCAGTAAAACAGGAGACTCGGCGGGCGCGTGCAGCGCGCAGGGGCCGTGACGCGGCGCGGCTGATAAGATACCCCTGTGTACAGGGCGTCTCTCGGAGCCGCGGACCACCAGGGCCGGGGCGGGGCCAAGGACAGGCGTCACGCGGGGGCCGTATCGGCTCGGCTCGGCCGCTGACGGCAGCGGAGCCGCGCACACTACGCCGAGGCTTTTCTGTATCTGAGAGATTACACGAACATCAGCACCGCCGCTGCGCGGTCCGCGTGGTGTCGACGACCGGTCCCAGGACATCGACGTTGATAACGACCATCGATCCCGAGGTTTTGGCATTGGCACGGTTGGTCGGTCCCAGGTTTCGATGCGAAGAGATATTTACTCATCGTTGAAATCGGTGTCTTGTGACGGGCTCAGGAAGCTCTGCGTGTAGAATTAAATGAGCCCTGAATGTCTCTGCGACCTGATCATGCGAATTGCCGACAGCGATCCTCTTTGGCTGACGCCTTGAATCTGACGGTGTGCATGACATGCGAGATAACCTATGTTGAAGTCGTACTATGCTTCGAATAATCGGATCTTGTTAGGTCTTGTACTCAGGGTTTTTATTTAAGCTGCATGAATATATATGCGGCGTTTGCAGGATGTCACAATGAAGGGTTCTAAGGTTTCAATATTCCATAAAAAACACATTTTAGCGGACGGCGGACGCGCGTGATTATTTACATAGCGCTTAGCAACGTCGCACGTTGCCAATCTCATTAACTTAACACGTCCACCTCGACCTGTTAATTGTCGACATGTGTTCGCATGCATGTCAACGAATGCCTTGTATATTGGTGGGAAGGGATAGGTTGACACATGCCCCTCATGAATGCACTGCTAAAGTGATTCTTAGGTTTTGACGCATGCTTAAATTTTTGGTCCTTAGCTGCACTATATTTCAGAGAAATATTGCACTTCAGCCTATTGTTTACCCTGTTCTGATACGGAAAGATAATTTTAAAAGGCAACCAGTAAGGTTTTTCTTTGGCGTTGGCATGTGTCCATGGTTGACCCGTGCACAGTTGCAGTTTGCTGTGACGTACCGATCCTGGATGTGTTTCGAAGAGAGATTGCATGGTTGTTCCCCGTCGCCTGCCGTGCGTGACGTCACGCAGCAGCGATTAGCGTCGCCAGCTGGAGGACGTCTTGGTGGCCAGGATATTCCAGGGCATGGATGTTCCAGGATGTATTTCAGGATATTGTATGGAGGCCAGGTGCAGTTAGCCAGGCCGCTCCGCTGGCCCACCGCCAGCTGCCGCCGACCACATCCTCCCCCGGGAGCCGTGCGTGAGCTGGCAAGGCCGGCGCCAGGCCGCCCTGCTGCCAGGCACACTGTGAGTGGGCCGGAGCGTGTGTGTCCGCCGGCGGCCCCGGTTAGAGCAGGGCCGGGGCCGCGCCGTCTGCACGCCGGGCCGCCGCCCGTCGGCGCGCCCGGTGCCACGAGACCCGTTCTGAGCGCAGGAACTGCTCTGCCGGCAGCCACGTTCCTGGTGTTCCGCATCACCACGCTGGGCTGGATGACGCGTTGGCTGGTGGTCAACCGCGACTCGGTCCCGCTGCCCGCCTACACTCTCGGCAGTGTCGGTCAGTGGGGTCGGCGCTACCGTGTCGGCAATGGTGACTGAGACGACATCCTCCCATGCAACCTCGCTGGGAGGTTATAATGACATTGCGCTCGCCGTTGTGGTTTGTCGTGCATTGATATTGTTTGTCATTCATCGGTTTTGGTCATGCTGTAATCTCCGGTACGAGCTTCTGCGCAGTGGCTGGCCGCTGCATTCCGAACGCTAGGCTATGCCAAGGTGTAATTACCCGGAAAAGCCGTCCTCCGTATCAAGATTGCGGTCAACTTTCGTGTTTTCCCAAGGAGACTAAAAGCGCAGCCGTCTGTCTGTGCCTCTGCCCGTGTCGCCGCTGTGATCACCCGTCTTGACCACACCACGTGCCCTGCCGTTTTAGCGCTGGCCACCCTGGTGGCGATGAACATCGTGCTGTTCTTCCGTGTGCTATACGCCGACTTCCGGAAGGTGAAGCGGGAGGGCGCGGCCAAGCCGCCGCCAGCAGCCAGCAGACCCGACAAGATCGACTCGGCTTTCCGCCGCTTAGTGCGGGGCACCGAGGAGGAGGAGGTCTTCAGCGACAAAAGGGAGTAGCCGGGGTCCAGCCGCCCGCACAGCCGCCGCCGGCCTGCCACTACTTATGCGCCAGTCCGGACGGCTGTTTCGTCTCCGTATTTTTAGACACGGTAACAGTGTTGCGTGTGATTGACTCGGTTAGCTTTTGCTGTGGTTTTGCGTACCAGTATTTGTTTATCGCATGTTCGTGTTGCTTCATAACATTCGATTTGATAGTCTGAAGTAGTTGTAGTGTGTGGCTAGTTTACATTAAACCTTACCCAATGTATTCAATCACTTCAGGATGGTTACCAGGTTGTGTTAGTTGCAGTTTGTGGTCATTTTGCATTGAACGTTTCCCAGTGTTCTCTATCACTTGAGAATGACCACCCACATATGCTTCCATGTTGTTCAACTGAGGTACCTCGATAAAGTCAGTGTGACGCTGCACAACACGGCACTGGCTAAAGCAGCAGACGTTGCTCAGTCCTCAACGGTGAGCGTTGAGTCCAGGGCTGTTCACCATATACAGCAGCTTTACAGTGCTGACATCAGCGGCGCTACGTTCGTCATAACGACATGATCATGTACAAAGCATCTAGTGATTGGGACTCGGGATGTAGTCGGGTAATGTTGCCTTGTGATGTCGCACTGATCAACTGTAACTTGCTGGTTGCGATTGGCGCGGCAGTAATCTGTAACCAGTGTATCGGTGTCCTGGTGGGGCAGCAAGTGTTATGGAACTGGCACGCACTCGGCAATAGACATTCGTGTTTGTGTCGTAACCGTAGCACATTGGTGTTATGATGTCAAACGACTAGCTGTTGTCTTATGTCTGGCAGCGTCCGGCGTGGATTTGTATTGCCCCGTGTCTGGTGTCACGTGTGTGTTAGCATACCTGCCCTGTGTGCGCCCGCTTATTGTGCGCTGGTGTGACGCGCGAGGCTCTGGACTGTACTAGCTTGTCTTGTGTGCGCTGTGCCCGGCACTCTCAGGTAGGAGCTGCGTCTAGCCCCCGCTCACTCCCGTCACTGACACACGTCCACTCTTGAGTGTGCCTGTCTTTGTTGTCTCGTGTCACCGTCACGCGGCCCGGGGAATGTGTCTCCGTCTGGTGTCTCGCGTCGCACAATGCATGCCTGTGTCCCCAAGGGCGAAGTCACACCAGATGCGTCGAACGTAAGTACGCATGGGGCTGTGTCAGAGAATGGACTTCGCCAGACCTTAAGAGTCTGTCTGTGACACAGCTGCGTGCGTAATGGCGTCCGTTACACGTGGCGTGAGTTGGCCCTCACTCTTGGCATGAGTTGACCACCACTCTGCCTCCCGCATCACCCCTGAGCTTGGTGTTTGGGGCCTCTGACTGCCTTCCGGATCGCCCCTGAGCTTGGTGTTGGTGCCTCTGACACTAACATCGTTTGCCGTGAACTGTGTCATTTTCATTCTCCATTGTCTTGTATACTTTTTGCCCGGACACGGGTTGCCAATCTCTGTTGCTGCTGCTTAACAAGCATGAGCATTCCACACCGTAATACTATCTCTGCTCCTGTTGTCCAAGGCGCCCCCCCAAACCCGACCAAGGTGATACTATCAAATGGTGCGTTGGGCGGTTCACTGCGGCCGCTTCTGGCAGATGTGACTATTTTTACACATGTGTACTGGGCTCAACCAGGGCCTGATGGCGTATTCGCTGCGGGACACTGTGACAGGTGGGCGCCACTTCTTGTCTTGTTTGAACTAACCGCGCGCACAGCGGAATCCATGAGGGACCGGCCCTCGCTGGTCAGCTCTACCTGACTGTCCAGGAACGCTTATTTGATTGCGCTGTGGACGCTGACAAATTGTGCTGACTTGAGCCGTGGATTTGGTTTAATGTTTGCACCGTGCAGCAACAATGTGCATAATTTGTATAATGGCTCAGCGATACCGCGCAAGGTACTGTTGTCAATGTCAGGGGTGGCGCCACCAGTCGACGATTGGCGGAGGGGACGGAGGGGAAGGCAGAGTTCAAGACACAGCCTTTTTATGTCACACCATGGCCGTAATGGGAATTTCAAGGTCTTTTGGATGGAGTGCGTTTGCCTTCTTTCGGGTGCTGCTACCCCTGCGAAGACTGTACCAATCAGCGGATGTTAGTTTTATATGTGTGCCGGGCGCCTACGTTCAAACCAAGACCAGTCGCAGCCATATGCGTACATCACGTCGCAGAATGGGTTTCAAGCTTCATCGCAGCGCGGTGCGCCGCCATCGTGGGGGTGTGCACCACATCGCTGTTACCTGTTCGTCCCAAGCTGCGCGGCTGTGGGTCGGACGTCGGCGTGGTCATGGCGGCCCCAGCTTCCCCGCAATGTTCGTGACTCGCTGCGTCCAGCGGCGTGCTGTGTTTTGTAATACACAGGCGTGGCATACGGGACGTTATGTGGAGAGAGAGCGGACCGTGGCGAGGGGCGCGGCTCGCTCTCTGGCGGATCCCGCTGGGACACGCCTGGGACAGGCGGCCGATCTGGTCACTGGCGGAATCTGGCGGAGATGGTGAAACGAGAAGTTCGAGGGAATACCGTCGGTCGCGCAGCTGCTGATTACACGCGTGCGCGATGTATAAGCTGGGCAGCACGATCGCCAGTTGATTAAAAGCGTCTTTTGTCAGGACTGTCTCTTGTCCTTCACCAATGTTATTGATCTGAAACACGGATGAGCAACAGTGAGGGCAACAGCAACGGGAAGTCCAGCACTGAACCACTTGTGATCAGGCGTGAAATGAAGAACCTGTGTCAAACACACACTAGCGGCGATTGATGATACGGTATATTTTCATCCCTCGTGCATTCTAGCACTTCCAGACTCAAACACGGTAACTTTGCCACGTCACCTGGTTGTTGCGCACATGAAAGTCCGCAGGACATGGTATGGCGTTGGGTAGTGGCGCATCGCACAGAAGATACGCAGCCACGTCCTTCGTTTGTGAAGGTGTGGTGGGAATTGGTAATCTAACATTACAAGATATGGGCTCGTCACTTTGGAAATCGCTGCTCTTGCAGAGTCGGGTGTCACGCTGCCCGGTCAATATCCGGCTGGCGCAGTTCTAAAAAGAGGACTGAATTTCATATGTTCCAAAAGTGGAGGGAATGGACGCCATATGACAAGTGTAGTCGGTGCGCTCTAAAGCCCGAATCACTATCACCTTCGTCAAAAGTGGAGTATTTTTTTCCATTTTCCAATTCTGTTTATTTCCATGGTTCGTTGTGCACCTGTATTGGACTTAAGAGATGCGTGGACCATGGGCCTCCGAGCTCATCCAACGTCCTTGCGCCCGGCTCATGATATTTTGCTGCCAATAATATTGCTTTGTTATCTGGCGACCCGCACAACCGTCAGTTGGAGAAAACAAGATATATGGACACACTCATGTACCGCAAATTGGAAGCGCAGCTCCGAACGCCGGATGTGCGTAGCGATTGCGTCATCCGCGTCGTTTTGTGTTCCGAGCCTTTACAGCAGCCAAAACATAATGCGAGTTCGCGGGGGTTAATAGCACTGCCGCAGTGTGTCGAGGTCACGAAGCTCGCTGCGTGAAGATGTTGTGAAGGGTCTACGTGATCGGTCCGTTCTGAAATAGTAAATTTTCCACAAGGAATTTCTCGGTAAGCCATTTTGATCCTATTAAGACAAGTAGGGATTTGAGGGTACATGTGACGGTTATGGAAACGAAAATGTGTTTTTCGCATGTCATTCAAACTAAGCCAACTCCTAGCAAAAACCAAGAAATTGGTGCCTAAGTTGGAATACCAAGTGATTCTTTATTAGCTTAGTCAGGTACACGAGTTGTTTGAAGTGTGATGAAATTGCAAAGAAAAGGATTAATTTTTTGTTGCTAGTATGAGGTGCCAGATTGCAATCTTTTCAGCCTTTGGTGTTGCGTCAGCATCAGTTATGATGTAGGTGTACTTTGCTACCTAATGTAAGAAAAAATCATTGTACACCATTTGTCATGTTTAAGGCAGAACATATCATAAATGATCTAAAAACAGGTAGAATCATGCTCCTACCTTCAAATTCTAATAACTACGATAGCGATCTCCTGGGCGCCGCACACACTGCATGGCCGGGACTCCAGCGCTGTTTTTGCGTTGTTGTGTAATTACAATATTTCTGCTTATCAAGAACCATACAAAATATATGGAACCAAGGTAACAATAACAGTGCAATGAAAATAGTTTCTTATCACATTTAGGTATTTTTATGAAAAGCACAGGCCAGAATAGTCCAGAACATAGCCTAAACTAGCCTAGCCTAACTTAACCTAACCTAACTTAACCTAACCTAACCTAACCTAACCTAACCTAACCTAACCTAACCTAACTTCCCCAAACTGTATCCCCTTCAACCCAGCACCCCATTGGCATTCATGTTCCATGCCATATATAGGTACTGTATAGTGAGCTTTTATTTAGCCACCATGTTCTCATTTTGCTTTACATTTCCCACCTGATTCGCCTGCAACCCATGGTCCCGTTGGCGTCAGTGATCAAATTTCATGGATTCTTGTTACCTTGGCTGGGCACATTTTTATGGTTCTTGATGCTGCCTGATGCGCAGTAATGTGAGCGTGTGCAGTAATGGCGCCAGGGTCGTGGGTGCTGTGTGTTTGCAGAGGTCGGATGTTCAGTATCGTAATTAGTTAAGTTCCAAGGTGAGATTATAGATGACTTGTTTTATGATTCATTATATGTTCTGCCTTAAAAACAATGATTGATGTACAGTGCTCTTTTGTAACATGAGGTAGGAATGTATACCCTGACCTTAAATATTCTACCATTCTTTTGAAGTTAAGAGCATTGACAACTTTCACTGATTACCTACCATTGCCTGTTTTGCTCCGTCTTGTCACCTTGCTACCATGGCATTCCTTACGCTGCCAGTTTTGTGATGCATACCATCGTGGGAAGTCCTGCCGTTATCATGTCATGACCCACTTTTTGGACTGGGGCTTTTCCATACAGCAGCTGCATAGGAGGTTGACTGTCAAAGGATTCTAAGCTTGTTGCCATGCTTCCAGACTGCAGAAAGATATGTTATGCTGAGCATGTACATGTCTGGTATAGCTAGGGCATGACAGCAAAATTTCAGTTCATATCTGTTGTAGATCTAAGCTTTCAAGATTTGGAGATTGTCACCACCACTCTTAGTGCATATTGTAGTGATGTTTCATTGAGCAATGATGTTTCAAAGTAGTTTCAGGCAAAAGTACTCTGGACACATTTTTCACATAATAATAAGTTGCAAATTCAGCTCAATTTGGCCAGGCCTGAGTAAGGCACACACCAACTCAATGTTTAGCTCAGTGCACTGATGTCATGTGAAGTGAATGGATCTTCATGCAGACTGGCTTTGCTAGCTGCCTGTTGAGAAGCCTGAGTAAAAGCTAATTACTTTTTCATAAATTATCTGGCTATGGGAACAGGCTTACAAAATGTAGTTTCTAGATAATATTTAAGTGGTTATATACTATCATACAATGCTCAATATATGATGTAGTCAAATCTAGCAGGTCAAAAATAGAAACGTGCCTCAGATACCATCACAAATTAGGTTTGGACATGCAACGATGATGTTACCAGCTGGCAGTTATGGACAACATCTTAATGTGTATGGCTCTATTTTGCTTGCATTTTGCTCTGGTCCTAGTCCTTGTGTATTAAAGTAAGTGTTCCACATATGTATAAGGTTTTGAACTGAAAGCCTTTCGTTTTTGTTCACAATCCTGCCCTTCTTAGGACCTAAGCCTCTCTAGTTCACGAGCTCAACACCCACAGAAATGTGTCAAGTTATATTGGGGAGGGTATGTCAAAGTCAACTTGTCATTTATGATGTCATAATAGTGTCATTCAAGTCTTGTCATTCCATAAGTCATTCATCATTGAAGGCCAACAATAATATAATTATTATAATTGCTGATCATATCTGGCATTCATGGGTGCAATTTGTAGAGAGAACAGTGGTCAATTGGCTCTCAATCAATGCTGTGCTAGGTGTGGTGACAATCAAACCATGAAGCATTGAGCATATTTATGGAACAGAATTGTGCTGTTTAGAGCAGTCTTTTGCACTTAAAAAGTATATCAATAGTTTTAAATGAGCTTGTTTCATTCTATCTGATGCTCACTCCAGTATCTTCAAATGTGAAACATTCCCTTCAGCTTATCAATCAACACAAGAAGAAAGCTAATTTTGTGTTTTTATATGTGTTGTATTTACAATACACTGAGCATAAAAGGCATGCCATATGTCATTGTTACTGTTGTCCATTGCTGCCAAATGTCCACCCAATTCATCTGACCATGTCCAGCAGGTGGAGGAAGGACGCACCATGGCAGTGCCAGCGGCAGAGGCCGACCTGGACCAAATAATGGCGGTGACTGCCGCCGACCGGGAGCGGGCGGCCGCGCTGCTGGCTGCTGCTGGTGGCAGTGTGCAGCGCGCCATCAACATCCACTTCGAGGCGGAGCGCGTGCCCGAGCCGGCTGCCAACGGCGCCGACGCCTCGCCGGCGTCGCCTGCCGCCGGCGACGCGGGCGATGAGGTGCGCGCGCCGATCCCGCCGCGCGCCGAGGTGCTGCTGGAGCCGGCGCACAGCGCCGCCAACTACGCGCTCCCGGCGCGCCGCAGCCGCCTGCGTCAGCGAGACTCGGTGTTTGACAAGTTCCGCGACTTCAGCGCAGAAATCCGGCTGCAGGAGCGGCAGCTGGGGCTGGCGGCAGCCGGGCCCAGCCGCCGGCCTGTGCGCGACAAGCTGCAGACGCTCGAGGAGATCTTTCGGCCGCCGCTGGAGCTCATCTTCCGCGGCACGTTCCAGGCGGCGCGCGATCAGGGCGTGGCCGACCGCAAGTGGCTGATGGTCAACGTGCAGAACACGGAGGAGTTCGCCTGCCAGGTGCTCAACCGCGACGTCTGGTCATCGCACAAGGTGCGCGACATCGTGCGCGCCAACTTTGTATTCTGGCAGGTGTACCACGAGAGCAGCGAAGGGCTTAAGTACAAGACGTTCTACCCGGTGTCCAGCTGGCCGTACGTGGCCATCCTGGACCCGCGCACCGGTGAGCTGCTGCGCACCTGGGGAAAGCTCGACAAGAACGCCGCCATCGAGTTGCTTATCGACTTCCTGGAGGCGCACAAGTTCAGCGAAGACGCACCGCCCACTCCTAAGCGGCCGCGGCAGGCGAGCGTGCTGGAACTGGATGAGGAGGCGCAGCTGAGGCTGGCCATTGAAAAGTCGCTGCGGCCGGAGCCAGCGCGCCGCCGCCGCCTGCTCGTCGCTGATTCAGACTCGGACGGCGAGGACGACGACTTCTGGGCCGAGAGTCCAGCGCTGTCGTCCATCGCCTCCACGCCGCTCTCGCCCGGCGGACGCAGCGAGCGTGTCTCGCCCGTGCCGCCGCCGCCGCGACAGAAGCTCGAGCCGCCCGCACCGGACACGAACGGCGCCGACTCGGTGGACTTAGTGCCGGACAACGATGCGGGAAAGACTGGCGACGACTGCGCTCGACGGCCGCCGCCGCTAACGGCGGCATCGGCCCGTCCACCGACGCCGAACGGATCGGAGTGCGGCGACGGCGGGGCGACGCCGGCCTGGACGCTGGCGCTACGCCTGCCGGACGGGACCCGCGTGCAGCTGCAGCTACCGGCCTCGGCGCGGCTACGCTGCGTCACGGAGCACGTGCAGCAGCTGGGCTATCCGGCCGCCGAGCACGTGCTGCTCGCCACGTTCCCACGGCGCGTGCTGTCAGCACCCGAGCGGGCCGAACAGACACTGCGGGAGGCCGGCCTCCACTCGCACGATACGGTGTTCGTGCAGAGCCGGTAGGGGTGCCGCGGCTCACGAGTGTTTTGGAAGACTGCAGGGCACGCGACCGACCTCTTATTTACGTCCACTGCCGATTATTCCTGATGTGTGCGCACAGCTGCGCTTCTTACCCGTTTTCTTAAGCTAAGTGCATGGCAATAAATGTGTGTAGTTTTTACCGGTGTTTGTCTTGCACCGTTACTCTCAATAATTCTGGGTGGATGTGGACAGCCAGCAGACCCGTTGCGTAGATGTGTTTCGTCTTTTTCTGTTCGCCTTCGGTTTTCATTGCTATTCTGCCACTGTGAAGCTCGTGCATGTATTATGTTGGATAACCGACACACAGTTTAACAGCGATATTGGCTTACGCCAAAGAAGTATGAATAGTTTTAAACGGTGTAAAAGCAACAAACCGTAATAATGTAATGTAATGCATTAGGAGTTCATAGATCTCAGACTGGGTTATGGACCTGGACTATACCAAAAGGTACTGGTCAAACGACATCAAGCAACGTTATTCGTGATCATAAACACAGCTTGGAACTTTCAGTATTTACCATATAGCTAATGCTTACTTAATGACCTTTAACCAGTGCCTCCTGTTATACTGATGGTCCCAGCATAATAGCCGAACTCAATGCCGAAGAGCCAGGAGCTGCAGGTCTTTATTGCTTAAATCAAGTAATTCCTTAGCGTGCTCCAGGCCTGGTCCGAGACTCGTGAAACATACATTTGACAGCACAAAAGAACACCACGAGCTCATAGTTTCACTCCTCAAACTGAGGAAAAGCGTTCTGCGTTGTGTGAATGCATGCCAAATGGTATGCATGCCGGCCAGAGAATCAATACCGCACAGTCGACTCGGTGACGGTCTAAGCCCTAGCAGTCCGTTTCCCAGGCGGGGGCAATGCTGAGGTCATAAATAGCAATGTTCAGGACACTAAGCAAAAAGTGGCCCCTGTGTCGGTCAACGGTCCGCACGGTATAGCAGGGGGTCCTGTTAGAGCAAGGGACTGACTCGGCCAGGGGCACAATTGCTGGAAAGGGACGGAGACGAGACCATAAAGATAACGGGCCTCTTGCGTGGACCGGGGCTCTCTGACAACATAAGGAGATATACAGGGCTGCGATAAGCGTCCACAATGAGACAATGAAAGGGGCTTGTCGGTTAAAACCTGCGGCATCGAACGGGACATCTCACTCTTTTTTTGCCCGGAAACCCGTTCGGCCCGACTGGGGTCCCTGTGGAAATTACTGAGCCGCTGTGCCGTGCCGGCAAGAAAAAGAGAACCCTCTGTGCCGCTCCAGGGCAAGCCGCCCTAGTCAGAATGCTTCCGTGTCCCGGAGGGAGCCGAAGCATGATCTATCTCTCTGAGTGCTCCCGGATCGGTCGGGGGACGCCGGCCTCCGTGACACCAGAATAGCAGTTGGTAGGTACCCCGGATAGGGACGTAAAAACCATGTAGGCCATGGTATGGAAACATGTGAAACATGTGAAACATGGCATCAAATAATTTTGGGTATGCATGTTCGCAATCTTCAGAAGAAAGAACACCGATGCCGGGCGTTGCAGTTTCCGGTACCGAGCGGATCTGGCCGCTGCAGCAAACACCGATGGTCGCCTCGCTCGCGAGAGCAAATATTTGTACTCATATAATGCTTATGAAAACTTCCTGAAATCAATTCGTACCATGTTTAGGTAAGACTGGAGCATAGTGTTTACCTCTACGCTTTTGATGTGGACGCATTGACCTCTAGCTACCTCCAACACGTAAAAATCAGCGATTTAATCAAGTATAAGAATGTATTTCTTTCTGACGTACCGTCATTTTCGTCGTCCTTCTCCCATTGGCTGCAGCCTAATGCTAGCAGCAAGACCGATGCTGCGCCGTCTACGGAGACTGCAACGCAGGGGATCGTTTTTCGAATTCTATAAACTTGCGAGTACACAAGCTCAAAACTGTTAAAAAGAAGCATCTACCGCTATCGATCCTGATGAAAGACGCAACATCCCGAGGCCAACGGCAGCTGGCCACAAGGCAAATTTTCGACCACGTGTAGATATAAATACAGCCTAAGTACACCGGGTACACAAGACCTACACAAGACTTAGACGAGACCTACACCGAGTCTTCAACATCTCCTGAGAACCCGAACAATTCCGGAAAATTCCTGCCTACAAAGCTGAAGTCCGTTTGGTTAGTGGTGAGCCGTGAATGAAACCTGCCAGGGGACGTGGCGGCCATCAATCCCACGACCCCTTGACCTGTCAGCTTTCGAGGCACTGGGTGCCCTCCTGCAGCTGGATTTGGGATGGTTCGTAAATCTAGTGGTGTGTTGCGGCACAGTCTAAAGCGTGGCGAGCATCGCGCGCGGATGGACGCGTGCGGACGTGTGCGAAATGCGCATGGGGTGCACAAGCTGCCGTGTTACCACGTGTTTTCGGTGCGAGTGTGGTTTGATGTGTATTGGTCTGCATCTGCATGCGTTTAGATGACGCGTACCTACATGCGCTCAGCAAAGTTGGACATGACTGCCGCATTTGCAACGTTTACAGCTACCACATGCATAGCCGGTGGCTACCAACGTAGCGTGCGACGGAGGTGGTTGCGTAAGGAAAACCCAATGCCATTTTCCTTCCTGCGGCAAAATGGCGCGGACCTGCATGCAGCACGCTGCAACCATGTCCGGTCTGTGAAGCCTGCAGCACACAGTAACCACGTCCGGTCTGTGAAGGCTGCAGCACGCATTAACCGCGTCCGGTCTGTGAAGCCTGCAGCACGCATTAACCGCGTCCGGTCTGGGAAGCCTGCAGCACGCAGTAACCGCTTTCGGTCTGGGAAGCCCGCCTTAGTCCCAAGCCCGGCCGGCCGGTCGTCATCAAATGCAGTGCGTGATATGAGCAGGAGCCCTAGATTGCGTGGAATAGTAAACTCGATTACATGAGTGAAGCTGCTGGTGTTTTTGACATCTGCAATAACCTGGGCAGCATCGGCATACTTCATGATGACGGCTCCTGCAGTAAACAAGCAGTCAGCAAATGCGCTAAGCAAGGGATGCGTACTCTTGCCCGAATGCCTTTCAGGGGCACGTCTTTACATTGATGGCCGAGCGGTGTGCAGTTGAAACTTGTGTGTTCAGACAGCGCGATCTACGTCACTGAGACATTTGCAGCTAATCGAACAAGACTGTGCCCACCGGTGGCTGTGAGGTCGCTGTCTGCGACCATCTGCAGCTCGCATTTCGTCGGCAACACGCGCGGACACTGTCCTGCATGGACTACATCGTGATCATTTACTCGTGTGCCACCCACGATTAGGCGGGTTTCACGGCACAAGCCGCAATGCATGCTCTTCCAGCAACAGATCGGAAACGCTACCGATGAACGATGCGACTCGGCAAGCACGTAAGCAGGTCCGAGAGAGCCGACATCGCAGTCACGATAGCCACCCGCTCAAACTGAAACCCTGAGAGGAGCTGGGTACCAAAGGGCATTGTTAGTGCTGCAAAAGTAGGGCTCTTGTCGCAGGTGGCGCACCGTAGTATTCATACTCTGCCGCCAAGGCTTGCCGTGTGTGCAGATTGTCCATTTCAAAGGTGGGAGACGTTTAATTGTCTGATAGTCACTGAGGGATCCCACGGGCACGCAGCGTTTCATGTGGCCCGCGTGCTACATAGAGTGGCAGAACGTCACTTCGATCAGCTCTTGCCGGACTGAGATCCCCTCGGCAGCACAGCACCGGCGTGCTATTGTTTACTGTCCACAAGCATCAGCCGGGAAGCCCAATCACGTTGATAATACCAACGGCTTATCTACTCAGCACGGCGGGTGGTCTCAACGAACATTGGATTTTTTTCACTGAAAGGATTAGCTGCCACGCGAGGCACTCATCAGCCATCACGTGGCCGTACGTCTATCGACGGTCCTGATTGAAGCTGGCTGACAGGCAATAGCGCAACTTGTTCCGATGGGGTAATGTCTTGCCACTTCTAGCCATCGAACACAAATGATGCTGCGTCTCGAAACTGTGAGCCATAAGGAAGTTGTTAGCCTGCGTTAGATCATCAATCTGATCAAATCAGATCATCAATCAGAGACATCTCGAGATGTTTCAATCAAGGAGCCTACTTGCACACTGGATTATAGCCCGCGTGCTATTTTTGCCAGAGCTTTGAGGTTTTTCACTCGATGTCCGTTGGCCGATGCACTGCTCGCTGGGCACGTGACAGCAGATTACCATTGTCAGTCCCGAACGGAGATGGCGTGTATCCCGGTCATGCAGACCCCTGTCACGCATCAGCTCGTACGGGGCTCGGAATTAACTGAGCCTGCTCAGAGGCGCTCGGCGCACGGTCAGCGGGATTAAAAAGCAGTGCCACGCGGCGTGGCGCCCCAGATGAGTTCCGGAGCCGACGGCGCAGGTCGATCCCGCCTTCTGGCCGCGCCGGACGAGCCGAGCATGGGACGCAGCGCGACCTGACGGTCTGGGCTGCCGGACCAGCCCGCACAGAGCCCGCGGCATGGCTCCGGTGGCCCTGCACAAGATGGAGCAGAGAGGTGAGCGCAGCATGGCACCGGCTGCAATGTCTGATACTGCTCAGGGTCTCTGCTAGTCAGGCTGAGCACGTGTACTGTTAGCTGATTTGGTGGGCGATGCTGGCCGCCGAGCATGCTTGCTCAAGCCCGTCTTATCGCCCGACGAGATCCAGCGGAGACCAAATGACATCTGAATCCGAGAGTTCCAACTGCCTGCAGCCCACCACCCGGCGTCTTTGGTAATGCCTGCAGCCCGCCATCGGGCTTCTTTGGTAAACGTCACCAACTCACGCCACAGCCAAGTGGTCAGGCACTCAGTGTGCCGCTATTGTTTAGATGCTGACAGCGAGTCGAGCAGGAGCAAGAAGTCGTTCAGCTCTGGCACGCTGTCGCTCTACAGCTTCCAGGGGGAGCGGACATGCTCGTTCAATCCGAACACGCGCCACGGACGTCGGATGTACGTCATACAGGTCAGAGATGCACCCGCCCGCCGACTGGACAGCTGTGACGATAGATGACGATGGCTGAAGCCCGTATGGCTTACCTTTTGGTGGAATGCCCTCAGCTGCTGTCTGTGTGTCAAAAGGCCCGTTCACATCTCGCGGGCTGGGTGCAGAACCCAATGCAGATTCCGTAGTCATCTCCTGTCGCTGGCAAGTGATGTCCGCCACTTTTCAGTCCGCGGGCCCACAAAGCACAGGTAAAAGAAGCTGAACAGTTGGGTCTCTTGTCCGCAAACAGCTGGCGGCTGCATAATTTGCAGCATTTTCAGCGCTTTTAACTCTTTGAGCCCTTCTAACCGCACTGTACGGACCTGTTGGCTTAGCAGTGCCACAACTAGTCTGCAACAGACGTGGACCAGGTGTGGCTCTACAGAATTTGCGGTCGATTATGCAGCCAGTTTGCATCGTGTAGTCGGAGCTGTCTTTGCCCTTTCTCCGTTTTGTTTCTCCTATTATATATGAGTATTATTCACGCGGCACTGGACATCCTGGTGTTGGTGTTCGTCGGACTGTGGATATATAACGTGAGGCCTTCTTGCAGATGCTCGTGCTGCCGTTTATTCCCATCTTTGCGCTTATCGTCCAGAACATTTACACAATGACAACAGCCATCCAGCACCAGCAGAAGATGGAAAATCTAAAGCATACGGTAAGACACGTGGTTTGGGGCAGCAGCCGCAATCCCATTTGTCTAACAAATATTTCCAAGCAAAACGCAGCGCATTTTGTGGCGTATCGCGGAAGCATGACGCATTGTCCTACTTTTATAAAAGTCAGTCTGCGCTTTGTACGAACTATATGCACTACAACGGACTCCATCTTGCTGTCTAACCTTACGGATTTCTGTGCTCGGCCGCATTCTGGTTCGATGGCGCGCCGTTCTAAAGAAACATTGCCACAGATCGAAGGAACCACCGACTTGGGCTTGCTGCTGACCGCACTGCAGATGGAGCGGGCTGAAGTCGCCTTCCTCATCTTCACCAGCGGGACTACATCCGACCTGGCCGACAGCCTGGCCGAATACCGAGCCGTCCCTGAGAGTGAGACGCTCGGGCAACGACGCCGCCGCTCTATAGATTTGGTTTGATCACCCGATTGTCTACCAAGCATGATCGCGGTCGGGCCACAAAATGTCATTGGTCAAAACAGAAGGAGTCTTTGGTATGATTCCTTGTCGAGTCTTTGATATTAGACCTGAATAAATACTTAACATTAGGCCTAAATCAGCGTCTCGTAAGCAAACTGTTTTTTATTCGAAATGCAGCATTTATGCCAATCAAGCAGAATAGCATTACCATGCTCAATTTACTCTCCATACATCTATTTCATTCAAACGCGCTCATCGTTGACATGGACCCGGGTGGCCGGTTGAATATATCACGCTCGTTTGTGTGTGTGTGTGGGGGGGGGGGGGATCTGACCCCTAAGATCTCAGGAGCTAGGAGGGCTAGATACACCAAATGCCTTGGGTGGTATAGCCTGCAGTGAACTCACTTGTGTCGAAATTTGAAGTTTTCAGACCGTGACGATCGGGTTAAATAAGGTAAAACAAGTTCAAACTTTTTACGTCGCCCAAGGCCAATGGAATTGTCATGATCCCAAATTCAGTTGTCCAAGAAACTGTCTTGGATATGTATGGCTTTATCTATTACTCTTCTGATGCATCAGATTCAACGATTCCGTAGAAAATGCTTTCGCTAACAGCCATGACATGATTTTGACCTCCCATAGGTTGACTACCTTACAGGGCACGTCTTTTTTATCCCAAAAGACTCACTATTTCATTGTCTTTGGCTATGCAAAGTTTGACACGGTGTAGCTACGAAAATCCAGAAATTATTCTGGAAAAACGGCGCGCAGAGATGGGTGAATTCACCCCCGACTCACCCAAGCGCGTGTAAAACGCACCAGCGGACACCCACGGCAGGGATTGGCTACTGAGAATTTCACTAGTCCTTTCGAGTGCTGATTTGCTCGTCATTCCACAGGCCCGAGTGACATGTCGACGGTGGCTGGTTGGACCGCGGAACCAGTCAAGGCCAGCGATGGGATACGGCGGGCGTTCGAAACGACGGACAACGCGCTGGAGAGGACGACCGGCTGGGAAGACCTGGCCCGCCTGGTCAGCCGGCCCCGTAACAACCGCATGTTCACCTCCAAGCTCCGCTTCAGGATCAGGCTGGAGGACCTCAGGTGGGCGGCGGCCGATGCTTCACCGGCCGTCCAGCCAACTCTGGACTTCGTCGGTGGGCTCGGCTATTCGGTAGCATGTCGTCCATGAGGTTTAGCGCCTAAACACCTTTGGTCGCTAGTGTGCGGCAGAGTGGCGTGCTGCAGCCCTGCCCTCTGTCCTCAGGGATGCTGTGTGCAGAGATAATTGCTGTCACGGCGGCGACTTAGCTTGGTTTTCATTATTGGCTGTTGTGTGGGCAAAAAAGGGAAGGCTCTGCCGCCGCCGGGTATTCTTCTTCCCCTGTGCTGGGCATCCTGCTGCTGGCTTGTGTATGGCGTGTTTGCCTGCTCCGATCATGCGGTGTCTTGCATCTTCTCGGTATATCTTCCTGGGCCTGCTCTGTTCCAGTCTGATATAACCAAGGACGGACTTGGCATAGGCCAGGGTGAACGAGGCCAAGCAAACTTAAATCTCAAAATTTTGGGTATGATAGCTATCTGCGCTTCAAGCAGCTTCAAGCAGCACAGTACTGCGTATGGTGGAATGGAATGTGGGAACTTAACACGCGCCCGGATGACCTGTTGAATACCCCTTGCTTGGGTGGGAAGTCAATGAGACCCCTGAAATATCAGAAACTAAGAGAACTGGAGACACAAAGTGTATTGGCCTGCACATGAACTCACTTGGGTCAAAGTTTGAGGCTCCTAGGTCATGACCGTTGGGTCAGATAAAGTCAAATAGGGTCAAACTCCAAGTTGGTTTCCAAAGTGCCAAATAATCTAGCTACCTGTTCTTAGCTTAGCTTAGCTACCTTAACGTCGAGTATTTTCGTCCAATATCCTTATTATTGCTTGATATCGCCATTTTACCAGTGCGTCCTGGAACATTGAACGTCGGTCATTTCAGGATATGAATAAACGATGCTGATCCACTCACTCACCTCTGCCATGTGATATGAGATGCAGACCTAACGCGCTTATCGAATGTGGCTGAACCAAACGTGGCGCTGCTTGCCGTACGGCAGGCTTCGTCGTAAGCACACTTGGTCCGTTGCAGACGTCGGCCACCAATACTATGTGCACCGTTCATTAATGCGCGTTCATATGTGTAAGCCTGCATCAGATCGAAACCAGAGGAGCGCGTAGCAGGCATTGGGGACCTCTCAAGGCTGGTTTATGGGGCATAAATAAAAAGGGATCGTTGTCGTCCCACGACATCCTAAGGTGAAATGGTAGTTACGAATGCGTGAGTCGGCATGGCGTGGTTTGGATAACATCCATTTATCCGATAGTTCTGCTACTGAACATATCTTTCAGCCTTGACTCAATCAGTGGCAAAGATCTGGTGATGGCTGTTCTGTAAGACCGTCACCGGTTGAAACACCGGCGCAACCTCCGAGACCGTGGTGCTGTGACGGCGCGTCGTCACGCTGTGGCGGTGCGGCTCCGACGTTCGCCGCCCGGGAGCTGTGACGTCGCCTTGCCCGGCAGGCGGACAGTGTTTAATGAGCCGAGCTCGACCCGACGCCAGGTGCAGTGGTACGATCACGCTAACAGCTGGCTGCTGGACGTGCTGGCCCGCCGCGTCACCGCCCGCCGATGGACCACGGGCGCCACCAGGTGACGCTGCATCAGCACTCTGCGCCCTGCACCCCAAGCCATCATGTGATACTACATCAGCACTCTGCACCCTGCATCCCGCAGTCCACCGCGTCACCGCCCGCCCGCCGTCCACACCCGTCATCAGGTGACGCTGCACCCGCGCTCCACGCTCCGGTCGCACAGAAAAGGTGGCGCGACGCAGGGTCATGAGTGCAAAAAGAAATTGTCTGGTCAGTACCGTACGCGTGTTGTCTGGCTTGCGCGTTTCCGCGCGGGTACCGTCTTTGCAGAAAGGCCACGGGCAAACGTAGTCCGGCGTTCGACCTGCTCCACTGCAGCCACAACACACGAGTTCGACCTACTCCACTGCAGCCACAACACACGAGTTCGACCTGCTCCACTGCAGCCACAACACACGAGTTCGACCTGCTCCACTGCAGCCACAACACACCTGGCCGCGCGCATGTTCATGTGGCGGGGGATAGGAACGGCTCTGCGGGAGGGAGCTTCTGACACCGATGGCCACACTAACGCCTTTGATACCAGTAGTACGTTTAGATGGCGGCCAAGGAAGGTCATATGCTGTATGAGTGGCTTCTAGTAACCAGATTGCGTAACTGTAGCTCAGTTTGAGGAAGGTGCTGCCAAATTGGCCTGACAGGTTTGCCCATTCGTGGATTGGTGACGCCAATTTTACCGGGTACTGATAACTATCCGATTGATCCCGGTGATGTTGTGCCATTAAAAATGAGTTTGCCGCGATTGGCAACTGTTGCGTCCAGGCACAATCAAGTTAGATCATTCTTTGATAGTTTGTTTCATCAACAAATTCGGTGGATAACAGGAGCAAGGTATGTGTGGCATCGCCATGCTAGGTGCCATCCATATCTTATGTTACGCATGGGGGGGGGGGGGGGGGAGGAGGGTGAGGGTGAGGGTGGTCAATAACCGAGGGAGAACAACGGGGAGGGCATGTAAATTTTTGAACGTGTCAGTACGCTCAAGTGTGATGATATATTTATTTTCCTCACCTTAAAGACAGGAACCTACCGTTGCCTTCTTTCTTGCTAAGCAACTCGTCCGTCTTTATTCTACGCTTCCAGCTGAATTAGGGGCTAAACGGACGGTCGTTTCACGGCACGTTACGTTGAACACAGCGCATCTAGTCGAGGGGTCACTTAGCGTAGCCAGTACGTAACCAGGTAAAGGGGTTAAAAATAACAGAAAAATACGCAGCGTAATTTATGGACATCCAAACGAACACTTTAATATGAAAGACCTCATACCGTCTTGCCAAGTTGTCAGTCATAGGACGATCAATTATGATATTGGTAACTTCCAGGGAGTGTTGGCACTCATACATATCAGCTGTTCTGTCTTTTGGTGAGCTATAGAATGGGCGAAAATGCGATTTCTTAGTATAAGTATTCTTACCGTGCTTGCTTCACCCCATCGAACCGTATGCTATCACGTTTGTCTTCATCCTAAGTAACAAACGGCTCGATGCAAAAATCCTACATCATGTGTGTCGAGCCAGATCCCCGCAATGACAAGCCGAGTTTCTACCTCGCTGTCTGACAGCGGTGCGCCCGCTGCAGTTTCGACCTCGCTGTCTGACAGCGGTGCGCCCGCTGCAGTTTCGACCTCGCCGTCTGACAGCGGTGCGCCCGCTGCAGTTTCGACCTCGCTGTCTGACAGCGGTGCGCCCGCTGCAGTTTCGACCTCGCTGTCTGACAGCGGTGCGCCCGCTGCAGCTTCGACCTCGCTGTCTGACAGCGGTGCGCCCGCTGCAGTTTCGACCTCGCTGTCTGACAGCGGTGCGTCCGCTGCAGTTTCGACCTCGCCGTCTGACAGCGGTGCGTCCGCTGCAGTTCGCTGCTGGCGTATATCAACATCCTGCGGGCGATCGAGCACTTCGGCGTGATGTTGGTGCTCGGTCTGCGCTACCTCCACTTGGACCGGCTTCCCACGCTCCTCCTAGCGACTGCTGTGCGCTCCGACACCCTCTTCTGGGAGTACATCAACAACACGCGCGTCTTCTCTGCCGAGATGTCCGAGAGTATCCACAGTATCTTCGACAGCTATGAGGGCATGCAGACTTTCACCACAGTGTGAGTTGGTGTTGGGTGTACGGGGACATTTTTTTCGGAGTGGTGTAGTGTTCGGAAGATGCCTACATTCTCGTTTTATGGGCCGATAGCACTTGTGTTCACAACAATCGATCTTTCTGGTACTAGGAGTTGCTCTTTAGGCGATGCTGTCAAGAAAACATTGCTAACATTGTCAAGGCTTACGGATATGATTCTACGTTTTGTCAATATTTCCTTGAAGCCGTTGTCTTTACCAGCACCTGCTGGCGTGATGAAAGCTTCTTGCCGCCGTGATGATTCCCAGTTGAAAATGCCGCAAAGCTAGGGGCTCAAGGCCTGTATCGCTTATATCAAAGATTCTCGTTTTCTTTGCATGATATGAGGTCCAGAACCAGAATGCACAATTACTAGCTGGGCAGTGCGGCTCTGCAAAACTTGTCTTTCGTTCTCAATCGGAAAAACTAAGTAAGCTTCCTCCTTGCCTCCTCTCAGACTTCGAGGGCAAGCTCCTTCCCTGTCTCACTAGAAATTCAGAACACATTCCTGCTGTGCTTCGCCAAGTGTTCTGAGTAAGTTCATGCGTGCCTCAGTTTTGATCCTTATCAAGTTTCGTCCTACCTTGCCTTCTTATCAGTAATTTAGACGCCTCAATATCCGTTTATCATCTTCAGTGCAGCACCATTGCACCTTCCTTTGACGTTTGACCATCTTCTTTACATCCCTGTCATCTATGCCTCACTATTAATCTGATGCTGCAGACGAGACGGCATCGTCTCCAACGAGCCCGCGGCCAGTATGGGCGTGACATCTCTCAAGTACTTTGAGGACGTCACGAATCTGGTGGTTCGCCTGCGGAAGGTTCAGCAGAAGCTGCGCGATATCATCGAGTGAGGCCCCGAAAAGTGCAGGGATTGGATGCTAAGGCCATAAAGCTGGCTTCTTTTTGTCTTTCTCCTCGTTTCTGGGCTCAGCCATCCCTACATCGGACAACCGCTGCCTTGGGCAGGCAGACAGGCTGAACGGTTTATTGACTACCTAGCTTGCATCTGTGTTCTGACCACACACTTATCGGCCGGTAAGGCTATTTTAAGAGCTTTTAGATCAGGCTGTCTAAACTGAATGATGGTAACAGTGATGAACGATTCACCAGCCCTTTGTCCCGCTTCAGAATAAACACCACGGCCCAGATGGAGTCAGCCCGTCAGCAGCAGATCGTGACGGCCAGCCTGCTCGTGCTCATCCTTATCCTCTCACCCATTATCATACTGATGACGCGCACCGCTGCTGTGGCCATGGAGGTAAGAGAGACATGAGCATACATGTATATATATATATATATATATATATATATATATATATATATATATGCACGCCGCGTGACCGGACAGGGTCACTAGCTTCCTTCAGTGTGAAGGTTTGGCTCCCAGTGCCGACGCTTCGGCTTCGTGCAAAGTTATGCACCCACTCCGAATTTCTTTGGCAGCCACCTAGTGTAACTAGGGCTAGGATGACCGCGCCTCATCGACCTCTGTACGCTGTGATCCGACAGGTCTGTGAGCCCACAGTGAACATCTTTCATCTCTCTCTCTCTCTCTCTCTTCTCTCTCTCTCTCTCTCTCTCTCCTCTCTCTCTCCTCTCTCTCTCTCTCTCTCTCTCTCTCTCTCTCTCTCCTCTCTCTCTCTCTCTCTCTCTCTCTCTCTCTCTCTCTCTCTCTCTCTCTCTCTCTCTCTCTCTCTCTCTCTCTCTCTCTCTCTCTCTCTCTCTCTCTCTCTCTCTCTCTCACTCTCAAAATATCTTTCAGACCCATCAAAATCTAGGGAGGCTATTATGTGTACTGGAACGCCGCTGCACGCGTCAGCCCTTTCCTCACCTTACCGAGGCAACCTCCGCAATCGCCGCGAGACAACGTCGCGCAGAATGCTACCACACTGGCGACGTTTCACTGTCGTTATTACGTAACTTACCCCAGCCGATACATTTACAAAGACAGTGGTTGTTCCAACAATAGGAGTGAGCGCAGCCGCCTGATGAGGTGATCTTGCAGCATTAACCGCCGACCCTTCCTCGCTGTGGCAGACGTTCACGGAGGCTCTGGCGGAGAAGACGGTGGAGGTGCGGCGCGAGAAGCGGAAGGCGGATCGGCTGCTGTACCAGATGCTGCCACGCCAAGTGGCACTACAGCTCAAGGGCCGCCTGCAGGTGCCGGCCGAGTCGTTCGAATCCGTCACCATCTACTTCAGCGACATCGTCGGCTTCACCAGCATCTCGGCAAAAAGCTCACCCATTCAGGTCGGCTGGTGGGTCAGCGATGTGTGTACATACACTTAATGTCGGCAACAAACTATGCACGAAGGAACCGTTGCCAAGACGCACACGGAAAATTCCATTCAAGCTGAATAGTGGGTGTATTTATATGGTACGTAAATTTATGGACTTAATGTTGTGGACTTAAAAATTTATGGACTATAAGTCTAATTTTGGAATTGCCGGACATATGGCCTCCCTCGCCTCAGTTTTACCTTTGTTAGCGCCACCTTGCCGAATTTTGAACTTGTACCTCGAATGTGTTGAACAACGTGCCGATCGGTAGGCCGCGCACCTCCGGGCTGGCAGTATGTCTGGGAGCCGACCACAGCCCGCCGCTTCAGGTGGTGACGTTTCTGAACCGGCTGTACAGGATCTTCGACAACAGGATCGACCGATACGACGTGTACAAGGTGGAAACGATCGGGGACGCCTACATGTGCGTCTCCGGACTGCCCGTCAGAAACGGTACCGACTGAACCCTGCGGTTGGAGATGTTTCAGACCATTGGTGGACCGTGGGATATGCTGTCGATCTGACTGTGATGCAGGAGGATGAAGTGATGCAGGTGTGCTCCACAGGAATCCTAGTTTAACGATATAAGTGACGCATTCCTCATGTGATTTACCAGTACCAGTGCCGCTTTAAAACACCCGTCTGTGAAGAAAAAACTGCTTTGATGCGTTTCGCCATTGCGGTTCTTCATTGGCATTCGTTTGCTGTGAAGCCCCAGCTGTGCTGTGTGCGGCCCAAAGCGGCACATGTCACCACTGCCGCCGTAACACCCGTGGGCGGCCGACTGTCTCCGAGCTCCGGTGCGAGTCGCCAGCCGGTTAGATATCTCACCCGGCACACACCCGTGGGTGGCCGACTATCTCCGAGCTCCGGCTCGGATCGCCAGCCGGTTAGATATCTCATCCGGCACACACCCGTGGGCGGCCGATATCTCCGAGCTCCGGCTCGGATCGCCAGCCGGTTAGATATCTCACCCGGCACACACCCGTGGGCGGCCGACTGTCTCCGAGCTCCGGTGCGAGTCGCCAGCCGGTTAGATATCTCACCCGGCACACACCCGTGGGCGGCCGACTATCTCCGAGCTCCGGCTCGGATCGCCAGCCGGTTAGATATCTCACCCGGCACACACCCGTGGGCGGCCGACTATCTCCGAGCTCCGGTGCGAGTCGCCAGCCGGTTAGATATCTCACCCGGCACACACCCGTGGGCGGACCGACTGTCTCCGATCTCCGGCTCGGATCGCCAGCCGGTTAGATATCTCACCCGGCACACACCCGTGGGCGGCCGACTGTCTCCGAGCTCCGGCTCGGATCGCCAGCCGGTTAGATATCTCACCCGGCACACACCCGTGGGCGGCCGACTGTCTCCGAGCTCCGGTGCGAGTCGCCAGCCGGTTAGATATCTCACCCGGCACACACCCGTGGGCGGCCGACTGTCTCCGAGCTCCGGCTCGGATCGCCAGCCGGTTAGATATCTCACCTGGCACCTACCACCGGCTAACGTGTCGATGCTTGATTACGTTAACGTCGGCGGCACCTCGCTTTGCACGCCCCACGCGCAAACACTGCGGGCTTGCATCCCTCGAGCGTGATCAGGCGCGTTCAGTCCAGTCACAGGAGGCACGTCCTGGGTTTGTCTGTCGGCCGCCGGTCGCCGGCAGCCTCTGCTCACGGTCTGCCTCTCGCGCCGACAGGAGAGCGTCACGTCACAGAGGTGGCAGACATGTCGCTGGAGCTGATCGCCGCCGTGTGCAAGTTCCATGTGCCGCACCTTCCCGGCCATCTAGTGGAGATTCGCATCGGGATCAACACGGGCCCGTGTGTGGCAGGTGCGGTGCCTTCTCTGAGGGGAATGTTCAGGCATTCGCATGGGGACCGACACGGGCCCGTGTGTGGTAGGTGCGATGCCGTCTCTGAGGGGAATGTTCAGGCATTCGCATCGGGATCAACACGGGCCCGTGTGTGGCAGGTGCGGTGCCTTCTCTGAAGGGAATGTTCAGAGCACTCAGTGAGTGCAGATGTGTGCGTTTAATGTTATGTGGAGAAATGTCGCTGCTGGCGACGTTCGTTTTTGTTCAAATGAAAGCCAATTGCTACCGTTAAAACAAACTTCAAATATAAAAAAGAGGAATATTGGCCGAGTGGTTGGCGCTTTGGAGTTGGAGTTGGAGAGCGGAGGCCCAAGCTCAAATCCCGTTGCGCCATCGCCCCTGCGAGCTAATTCGGCCAAGGCAGTCGCTGGCGTTTCACAAGGGGTGTGACATCGACGACACTTCTTCGCCGGCATTTCTTCAAAGCTCCTTCACGTGCGTCCGTGGAGAAGTGTTGCTGTAAAGTCTGCCCTTTTGATACAAAACATGAACTAGAAAATACTCTTTAACGTCTTTTCTTTATTGTTCGCACATTCACTTTACTCAAAGCCCTCAAAGCACTTTATAATACGCGGTTTCGGCGCAACAGGTATGTAGTATAATGGCTGGTAGGGTTTCCACTCAACAATATCGTTCACTGAAACCGCCAGGTGCCGCCGGCTTGGAATCTCCCCAACCCATACTGTCAGTGTCTGTTTCTGGCTGAGCAAGAGGTTGCTGATACTGAGACTTGATATTGCTCAAACGAGGGATGACCGTTAATGCAACAAGACGGAGGTTCTCCGTAGAGCGCATCTTATTCAAGAGGCAGCTCAGCGAATCTCAAACGCTGCAGCCCCAACTTGGATCCGGCGTAAGGCGTAATGTTCTATCGGTTATTCCGTCGGCGTAATGGTTGGGGACACTTCTGACCATGGACAACTCGTGCGGCGTCGATCAGTCATCCCACAATAGTGCGGAAAGGATTGCTCCTGTACGGCATCCTACTTTTGACTGGGTGTGAGAGGGCATCCAAGCCCATGGGTCAATTTCCGGTTATGCTTCCTGGATTGTTAGATCACGCGGCGTAGTAAAACACGCCGAATCGCCTGACGCTGCCATGACGCTATCATAGCAAGGCACATTTAGCATCACTCTTGGAAACTCCAGTGAACGCCACCATTTATTTTACTGACCACCCAACATCAGTAGAGGCTCTTCGCACACGAACATGAACGCTCTGCTGTTCCTGAGAACGACTCGAATTTACGGTCGAGCTAACCATGCATATACCTCTTGCTGTATCCGTGAAGTCACGCACAGAATGCGAGCAAAAATGCCTGACAAGTGCGGGAGAGTGCCTGTGTCTGGTCGTGACAGTGTTCTCCTCGCTAGGCGTGGTCGGCACGAAGATGCCCCGGTACTGCCTGTTCGGGGATGCCGTGAACGTGGCATCACGAATGGAGTCGACGGGAGAGCGTGAGTCCAGTTGACCAATACCTCACCCCACATGTGACAGCTTATGATGGACAAAGATGGCTGCGTCTTTCAAATAAATGCAGCTCTATCCATCGTGCTATCGATATATATATATATATATATATATATATATATATATATATAGATATAGATATAGATATAGATAGAGAGAGATATATATATATATATATATATATATATATATATATATATATGTGTGTGTGTGTGTGTGTGTGTGTGTATGCATATATTTAGTTACATATGTGCATATTGTATATATATATATATATATATATATATATATCTATCTATCTATCTATCTATATATATATATATATATATATATATATATATATATAGCAGTGATCCTCATAGGAAATAGGTGTATGGGCAATGCTCATACCTGGCGTGCCAAATCTGGCAAATTTGTGGATTTAGGCTGGATAGTGGGAGGTTAACGAAGAGCGTATCATTTCCAATGTGTTTATGAAACGTTACGTGCTGTAACCCTCTTGGCAATACGATGAATAGTTTGGTCGTGGTTTGGTGTTGCTTTGTGTGGCTTTTTGTGTGGCTTTTGTGGCCAAAGCACATTTCTATTTAGATAAAGTTTAGTGACCCGAACCGGGTTTTATTTTAGGATATTTGTGGTTTTGTTTTCTTTGACCATACCTCCGCCTTCTTCAGCCATGAAGATACACCTTACACAGACAACATATGAATACCTGGAACGGGTAGGGAGCTACGAAATGCAGTTTCGAGACAACATCGATGTGAAGGTAGGACTGCCCTTCGACAAATAGTTGTTCTAGCCAGCCAAGCGGTGGAATGTCATGCTGTTCGCAACGTATTCGGTGGAAAGGGTCATTTTCTATCAGAAAGGCCCTTTCCCATCTTGTAAAATTCAACGACGCTTCTAAACGAGGTATAACAACAAATTGTACTATCTTAATATGATCAAGCAAATCTCTTACCATTTTCCTTAAACTAAACCCACGTGCATATATGCAGAGCAGAGAGAGTTGTGCCACTTTCATTCTGAGCTTCCTCCTGTTATAACTGATGAGGATATGACTAAGATTCATATATCTGCAGACAGCCATTACCTTCAGCTCCATATGTAGTACTAAAGTTTTGGAGAGCAGGTCTTCGTTTTTTGGAGAGGGATAAATAACTTCTAAATGATCTCCTTCCAAATGTGACTACTTGTCCCGAGTTGCATCACATGGAAGGGAAAGTTGAGTATAATATTTTTTTTTTGCGAAAAATATTATGCAAGCAGAAGGCTTTGGTCTATGTAAGCAAAGCTAATGTCAATTTATTGCTGGGATGACAATAAGTGAGGGCAACAAGCCAGTTGATCATTGACAGCATTGACGTCATTGATTGACACACGTCAGTCAATGACGTATTGTCGGTATATCGCATCACTGACAGAACACGTGCCATGCACAGCTGATACAACATGTGCCATCCAACATATTGGAGGAACGTTCGCACCACCCCAAAATCTTTGGCAAACAGACATCAAATGTTTTGCAGTATACCCGACATAGTTATTGCCCCCCACCCAGTGTAACATTGCAATTGGTGTAGCTATGCTGCAAACCGTCAAACACATTTACGTCGATGCTCATAGTTTTCAACGTTATGCAAAACAACGTGTTTGGCGCACTCATCCCAAGGCACGTGCACGCATGTGACCAGAAATACATCGAGAAGTAGAGGAAGCTACTGTGCGTCAGCTGAGTGGCTCAGAACTGTCATTTATCCCATAGATTTGGAATGTGTCACCCTGATACTACTTGGACGTGATGGCACTCGCCCCACTCTTTTCTATACGCCACGATGGTTGTCAATAAAGCTGTGAGTGTATTGTGCTATGTCATGATGCGTTGGCGGGCAGGTAACACCGAGTCGCGCGGCACAGCATGGAGACTGGCACGATAAAGCACGCCTAGTTCGGTTGGGATCTTGGTATCCAGCATCATTATACCGCAGCCGTTTTTTTCTTCTTCAGGGAAAAGGCGCGATGGCAACCTATTGGCTGGTCAGCAAGTTTGGCAGGATTCCACGGAACGTCGAAATCACAGCACCCAGCTATTTGGACAATGATGAAGAGCCGGACTTCATGAAGTCGGACTATTGGGATCGAGACGATTGATTGTGCTTCTTGAAGTCGCGCTACTGGGATCGAGAGAACTGATTGAGATAAATTAACTCGGAATGAGGGAAGGTAGGGGACTGATTGAGTTTCATGAAGTCGAACTGCCGGAAGCGAGAGGATTAATCTAGCTTCCTACGATATGCGCCTGAATTTGTTCATGATCTCAAAGTAACAAATGCACAGCTTGGAGCTTTATCTTGATATATTGTTTGGCGTTTTGCCAGCTCATTATATAGACATGCGTATGTCACCTGACCGCTAATCGAGGTCACGGTCTTCACATTGCCGCGGCTATTGGGAAATGAAGTCATTGCATAGTGCGAACAGTGCTGTCCAATATGTTATTTACCGTGGCCGGTGTAGGGCTTGACTTTTCTCGATTTTTAGAAATATCTGAACACGAGGTCCGGGGCCAAGTTACCCCATATTTGTGAAACCCAAGGTAGAAATGAGACTGCACCGGTCAGAGATCAGTAGAGCATGCATCTCCTACACGTATTACGTGGATAAGACAGTAGTATTAGCCATATTCCTCCGAGAAAAAAAGCTAGGAGAGCGGAGATCTAGTTGTGTTGACATTTCGGCAACATGTCTTTATCGAAACAATAGCAGAATTTGACTTCTAGACTTCTGCTATTGTTTCAATAAAGGCATGTTGCCGACATATCAACCCAACTATCTTTCAATTCTCCTGTTTTTTCTCCAAGTAATAAGGCTAAAACTTCTGTCTCATCTATGTGAATAATATTCCTCGCTTATGCATCGAACAACTTACGTATCATGCCGTCCGTTGACCCGGGTACCGATGCATTTCAGTAAAGCTGTGGACATTGCCCGGGTCATCTGCCATCAAAAAGCTTATATATATACGCAGTACATGCGAGTTCATGTGGTTCGAGGTGCGAGGGCTTATTTTCCTGAGCTTTTAGTGAGATTCAAGATCATCCCACGTGGGCCATATTCAATAAAAGCCTTCAAAAGTTTAAGAAAACAGGCAACTAAGCCATTCTGTCTACTTTGTCTTGGTTAATACTAATATAATGCCTGTGCGTGCTAAATGTTCATCCCCGTCCTGTGTAGTGTTATTCCTGTTCGTTCCCATTGTCTACATAACCATTTCATGGAAGGCTGGAAGCTCATTGACACTATTCGCCATTGGTCGGCGCCCGAGAAGCAGTACCTGTGACTGATTTGGAAGTATGTTTCACTGAATGGAATAGAAAGGGCACTGGCATAGAATATGGTTTAAGCGCCAAATGTGCCACGTAGTCCTACCGCGTGCACCCTTACCCTCTTAAGGTGGGACCCCATGACTTCACTGATCAGATCAGCCTTGCCTGCCATAGTTCACGTTCTCGTGAATTCGTCCACAGTTGGAGATCTGGTGAAGTGTGAATGAGCTTTTTATGCAATGGTTACTGTGGACATGGTCGATTGTGCACGTGATGAAACTGCATTCTGAGCACAGCGATGCTGTTTTGGATGGGTGCTTCTGCTCGTATAAGTGGTTTGTTCTCACATTGTGGTGTTATGTTCCTGTACTCAGCGCTAAAAGAAAACAGGTGACACCCTGGCAAAGCAGGGCAAGACAAGATGTTGCCGTTGTAATATATATATATATATATATATATATATATATATATATATATATATATATAGATTTGGTGAAGTTATATATATATATATATATATATATATATATATATATATATATATATATATATTTATTTATATTTATATATGTATACCACTGCATGTATGTATACATCAATACCTTTATGTATGCATACACAAATGTGTATATTGATAGTTATACATACATATATCCACATATATACATATTGAATTTTAAAGGATACAAAAATGTGCACTTCTATTGGAAAAATGTTTTGGTACGGAGGACACAAATGAAGCATGATTAATTGAAGCAAGACAGAGACCTATTTTCACTTTGATAATATAAGAAACACTCATAATGGAAACACTGCAAAGACACAATGAGAACACTATTGCCACAATAACATCAATAGTGCTCATCGCCCACTGCCTAATAGCTCAAGAGTTGTGCAAGAATTTGTTTGTCTGTTTAGCGGCGGAGAGAGTTCGTTAATGGATATGCTTTCCCAAATTTGAATGCGTCTTCTGCCATTGCACGTCCGTAAAATGTCAGTGTTGTCTGTCAGTTGTTGCCGTGTCAATTTCATGCCGTGTTCGTGTCGCATGTGGTCCCGAGGTGCCCCGTAACGTAAGTGCATTGTCAGGCGTTGTGAGAGTGTCGTTGTGGTTACACCAATATAGTGTATGGATTCTTGTACGGATTCTAACAAATTCCCGTACACCTCTTGAACTATGGGGTGGTGGGCGGTGAGCACTATTGATGTGATTGTGGCAATAGTGTTTTCATTGTGTCTTGTAGTAATCCAATTATGGGTGTTTCTTATATGTATCAAAGTGAAAATAGGACTCTGTCTTACTTCAATTAGTCATGCTTCATTTGTGTTCTCCGTAACAAAAGATGTTTTCCAACATATATATATATATATATATATATATATATATATATATAAGGCGACGTTAAAGCTTTTTGGACATAACAGCAGCCATACATCATACGTCGGCTAACCAATTGGTTGTGCAGGGTTTTACCGCATGCGTATTGTCTTGCAAAATAATACAACAGATAGTGATGAACCAGGATCCCGGTGAGTAGCCATGTCAGCGTGATAATGCAATACGCAGTCGACCCAGAACTTGTGTCCGTGCCTGGTGTGCTCGTGTTATATCTTCTTTTCCCCACTCGAAAATATAACAACCACAGTTCTGTACTCTCCGGCTCTCTGTCTATGTTTCCTTGTGTGTGTCACCACGAAGTAGTATTATAAATGGCTACATACATCGCTTTGCCGATGGACATACAGACGCGCCCAAGTGCCATGGGTGTTCTTGAACTGTCGTCATCGCCGCAAGTGGATCCGCCCGTTCACAATGCCTACAGGAGTGTGAAGCTCTTCATTTTTCACCCATCCTCGCCCTCGGTTCTTCACTGTGTTTAAGCCGGCAAATTGCAGCGAGAATTTTGGGAGTCGGTGCGCACAGTTTGATGAGCCGTTTTGAATGCTGAAGAGCTGGTGTTCACAGAGGATCGGTTTTATTATTACACAGAGGATCGGATTAGCGCACCTCTCTCCCTCCCCCCTAAAAAAAATCCACTGACGTAGTCAGCACAGGTGCCGCCCCGAGGGTTCCACGACAGCGAACTCCCAAAGCAATACCTGCTAACGACTTAACTTCCTCTTGACGTCTGGCGCAAATACTTCTCCGACATTGCTTGTTTGCGACAACATTTCTAGCATAAACAAACTTCCGCGCAATATTTCTTCTGATGCGACTTAAGCACAAAAACTTCCACGCGCCATAACTACTAGCGACCAAACTTCTAATGCAAAAACTTCTCCACATCACTTCTAATGCAAAGCTTCTAACGCAGAACTTGCTACGCGATAAAAAGTCTGACCCAAAAGCTTCTAGCATCAATATTTTTATTCAGGCCCTTTGCCGCTGCGTAGAGGGCGTTCTGAGGTGCGAACCTACAGATTGCTCAATGACAAGGAGCCCCCACTGCCTCTGCAAGGCTGGACTCCTTTTTCCGTGACGGGATTCTCTAGTCACTACCACTACAAGGGGCCTGTGACTGATAGCTCCACCAGAAGGTTAGAACCTGGAACTGACGTCTAGGTCAGTTTCTTTATTGTATCAGTGGCCCAAGTGACATTTAATATGTGTCTGAGGCACCTGACTGCCAGAGAAGCCCCTCATCGTCTCCAGGCAAGGGCGGAGTTTCGAAAAATGAGTCGGGAGGGGGGGGGGGGAGTGGCTGAGCAATGACAAATGACACATCCTGCCTTCAACGTACGCCAACAAACGGGTTATCACGAATTTGGCCGTCTTCCTTCTGAAAGTTTGGGGATGTAGTCCAAGTCGAGGCGTGGGAGGGTGCTGGATCCCACCCAACTGAATAGAAAGTGGCACCCCGTGTCAAAGTCGTCCGAGCGACGCGGAGACCTAAATGGTCGATATTCTTAGACTCTAGCCGCGTCTTTAATCGGTTGTTGGGAACCCTGTCCGTACACAGAAACCTAGGTCTAGTACGAAATGAGCAATCCAGTTAAAAAGTGTACCACCTGTGGGGCACATTTCAAAAACGTAGTCAGGTGAAAACTCCAGTTGACAATTTGGAGTTTTGGGGCGCATCGACTGCTGTATGCCATGCAGCGCCCATAACTATCATTTTGTGGAGAGCCGCAAATCAGACAAGTGGATCAATCAGATCACCCTATAAAGCCTTCATGATCAAGCTCGATATCATAATGAAAAGATTACTGGGAAATCTACAGCGCGAAGAAACTGGAACACTTTACCAAACACGACAGCGTGCGAACAATCCCATAAAAACTGACATAACGTGCGATTCTGGACGTTATGTCCGAAAAACTGCGCTCTCGCTGCAGTAAGGTGACGGTAAGCGACGAGTACGTGATGCACAATCAGCGGGCCAGAGCATCGACTGCAGTATGGTCTGTCGCCAGCCAATGACAGGTGACGTTGCGTAACATGTGTGTGGCCTGCGTAACTGGCAAAGGGCAACTTCCTCCCTCCTATTATTGCGAAAACACGACTGCCATAGTCCAATACGGGTTTTCACTGACATCAGCTTGTTGGCACTCAGCGTGTTCCAGTGGAATTGTCATCGCTTCTGCATAAGCAACGACACTGCGGGGTACACGTCTTGAGCTGGTAGTAGTGTTACAGGAATGCATGTCCCTGTCGTAGCGCGCTTTGCTGTCGCGTCAGCAAGATCATTTCCGCAGCTCCCCACGTGACTTGGGATCCAACACAGCATGACCGTTTTTTCTGCTCAGTCCAGTGAACCAAGACGCGTTTGAATGTCCTGGACCAGTGGATTCGACGGGAGAAGCCACCAACAGCCAGAAATCTGCTCAAAAGGTCGAGCAAGTCAATTGCTTTCGCATTGCTTTTGCATGCTAGATAGCGAAACATCCACTATTGACGATGCTAGCTCCCAAGGGGCAGTCTTCATGGGTTTGGGTCTGATGACACGTTGTAGGTTGAAGCCGCTCGCGCCTAGAAGTTCTTGCATTCGTACACAAAAGGGAGAAGTTTGTGGTGACCGTTGAAGTAGAAATCGCCTTCGTGAGTTACGCGAAATCACTGCTTTGTAGGCGGAATGATCTGGGAACTGCGTCAGCTTGCACGCGCAGAGCAGTTCAACCATCTGCCTTTGCAATGCTAATGGGCGCTCGTGAGCCTTCACCAGAAGACTATAGGCGATGTTCGAAAAGGATCCCACGTACCTTAAGATATTTAGGGATTTTAAACACTTCCTGCGGAGATTTATTGTGTGCTCCCGGTCTGTTAGCCGTCGGTCAAATGGCACGCCGAGAAATTTCACGGTATTCTCAGTGGCGACGCGTTGCCCATACAGCCCGATTTCCTTTTAAGGATAGTGACGGCGACGACGACAGATATGAGCTGCAATTGTCGTCTATGTGGAAAACTGGAACCCGTTGAGCACACTCCACTTCTCCAGGCGTGTGACAGCCAGCTGCAGGTG